ATTAATATGTCCTCTGTATTTTAACCCAACCCAATGATAATAAATGTAGAGTAGACAAGGTCACCTCCAAGTACAAGACTTTGTACTACTCTCCGAGAGAACTTCCTCCCAATTGATTTCCATCTATTTAATTAGTATTTCAGTATAGTAATTCATTATTTCTTCAGTCAACAAATATCTGTTCAGTCTCTCTTAATTGCAAGGCAGTGTCCTCCTTTGAGGAACACAAAGACGAATCAGATAAGATTCACGCCCTCAAAATGCTAGTGATAAAATAAGTACAAGTTAGGTGCCACAAAAATACTGTAATGTTTTCAACAAACTACCATCTGTGCTGCCCCTGAAGGCATAGATAATTTTGGAAGGGTCTCAACTACATTTGGGGGTGAAGGGTAAGGAAGGTATTCTAGGCTCAGGGAAAAGCTCCAACAAAGGCTCAGAGACAGGACAATTCAAGCGCTACTGGGCAATCACCAGATGGTTCACTTTGGCCTGAGTTTTGAATACACTTAGGAAAAGGTTGACTGTAAAGTTGTAGTGGTAGATGGGGGCCAGATCAGGAGGCCACCAGGATTAAGGAGTTTGTTGCATAATGAACACTTTGGCATTTTCCAGGGAATGAAGGGGCAGTGAAAGTGTTACGATCAGAAGAAAAACTTGATCACAGGTAAATGAACCTAGTAGTCACTATAAAAATGGATTAGAGCAAGGAAAGACTGGAAGATTTGGGGTAAGTCTGTTGAGAGCCCATTCTAATGAAAGGCTTAGGGGAGAGGTACTGAGAGCTGAAACATGGGCAGTGGCAGGAGATACTGAGTAGAGAACAGATCTTAAAGGATTTCGGAGAGAAACTTGGCAACATGGAGCCCTTGAGTGGGAGTCAGTAGATGCTTCAATCAAATGTTATTTTGCATAATTCCTTTAACATCCAATCAACATTTCTTCATAAGAATATCATGAGATGTGGGTAGCCAAACGTCTTGTTGAAATCAAGATGTGTTTTACTTTTCCATTTTCCTTGACCTGCTCTGATCTTTGCATTCTTAGTAAACATGGGCTTCTTCCTTGTCATCATCATTGCCTTTCCTATGCATTTACAACCCACTTTTTAAAAATTGTGGTCAAAAACCACATAATATAAATTTACTCTTAACAATGTTAAGTGTACAGTATTGTTAACTATATCACATTACTGTACAACAGATCTCTAGAACTTTTTCCTCTTGCATAACTCAAACTTCATACCCATTGAACCACACCCCCCATTTCCTCCTCCATCCAGCCCCTGGCAATCATCATTCTACTTTCTGTTTCTATGAGTTTGATTACTTTAGATACCTTATATTAGTGGAATCATGCATTATTTGTCTTTTTGTGATTGGCTTATTTCACTTAGCATAACGTCCCTCAAGGTTCACCCATGTTATAGCATATGACAGGACTTCCTTCTTTTTAGGGCTGAATAATATTTTATGTAATAATATGACATATATATATATCACATTGTCTTCATCCCATCTGTTGATGGACATTTAGGTTGCTTCTACATCTTGGCCATTGCGAATATTGTTGCAATGAACATGGGTGTGCAAATATCACTTCAAGATCCTATTTTCAATTCTTTGAGATATATACTGAGAAGCAGGATTGCTGATCATACTGTAGCTCTATTTTTAATTTTTTTAAGGAAACTCCATACTGTTTTCCATAGCAGCTACACAATTTTACAATCCCACAAAGAGTTACCACTCACTTTTAAAATAATCCAGTTCAGAATGTTTCTAATGGCAAATATTAAGCTTATCAGTGAGTGATTTCTGAAATCATATGAAGATCATAGCATGTGATACTCATCCAGGGCCTGGCCTTCTAACCAACATAGTGGGAGCTCGATAAATATTTGTTAAATGAAAAATTGAACAATTCCAGACTTTTGCTGTGTTTTCTCATTCTCTGTGATTCATAAACATGTACAAATGGTCCTATGATTCCATAGAACCAGATGATGTTTAGAGGTCAGACGGCTTGAAGATCATTTGGTACAGCTTCATAATTTGATGGGTGAAGTTATGTGATGTTTTCCCCCCAAAGATGGGCCAGGTGAATCGAATTTACCTAAAGAAACCTGATTTTTTTAACCTACCCTCAGTTTTCAGTTCTCTTTTAACTACATAGGCTCTACTCTTTTCAATCTGAAAATAATTGTCCTTATTTTAGAATATGAAAGCAAAATAGTGCTCAGGTAGTTGTTTATCTCAATGGGATTTATCCTTCAAGAGGGTAACTTTGGGAGGTTAAACACCTAGGCACTACTTACCTCTTTCAGGACTAGCTTAGAAACTATTGAAGGAGTCATTAGAGTTGCCATCAGTGTAACCATAAAATAAATTAGTCAGATTTGACTCTTAAAAACTTGAATATTTCAAAATTAAGCCCACTCTCAAAGGTCAAAGATTTGTCACTATTGGGAATATTTACTTACTAAATAATAATGTCAACTATTTATACAGCTATGCACCAGGTTCTTTCCATGCATTCTATATCACAGTAGGCTACTAGTATCATATGTGTTCTCATTAAATAGATGAGGTTTGAGTGCATAAATAACTTTTCTACATAACATGAAAATTTGAACTCTAGTCTGTCAGACATCAAAAACCATGCTCTCAACCATTGCAGGGTTACTACTATATGCAAGGTTCTGTGCTGGAATCTGTGGGGCATTCAAGATCTGAGTAACAAGACCTTACGTAGCTTATGCAGCCTAGTACCTAAGACAAGAATTACACATTGAAAGAAAATGTAACTGTCCAAGAAAATATGTATTGTGTTATTTAAAAGAGCATGCTATAAATTCTGAAGCCAACAGGAATACGCATTTAAAAAAAAAAAAACAGAAAAGTTTAAAGGCAGAAAGGATCATATAGTAGAAAGAGCAAACACAAATCAGAAGACATGGATTCTGGTTCCCAATTACCCTTACTAATGAGTCACCTTGGGTATACTGCAAATTTTATAGAATATGGTACAATTTCATCATCAGAGGAAGTTTATTGCTGCTCAACATGATAAACATATCAGAAAAGTTCCATAGAGTTGTTTAATCTCAGTATATTATATATACATGTATTATATATATCATATATATTATTTCATATTAGATGCAATGCTATATTCTTCACTAATGCAACTCAAGGTCTAAAGCCATTTTACAAGAATCAAAGGCTCCTATGATTAATTGAAATGTTCAAGAAAAGGCAAAGTGGCAGTTAAAAAAAAAGTTCTCACCTTGCTTTTAGCTTATTTCTCCCCTCCCCCAGCCTTTATTCTTCTGATTTATTCAAGAAAGCATAAAAGCATCTTATTAGCAATTCTTATCCAGGAAATATGAGCGCTTAGGGTCGATTGAAAGGGAACTGGGAGAAAAGGGGAGTCAAGAGGAAGAAGAATGTCGTACAATAAAAAAAGAAAAATCCAGTTTAGTGGCAAACACAGTTAAGAACATCATTTTACGTAAATCTGATTTACCAGATACTTAAAGCATCCTAGCAAATATTTCATTTTATTATCTCTAAACATTTTTCCTTTCCATGAACCTTTATTCTGATGCTTAGAAATAGTTCAAACTCATCTAAACTACAAGTAAGGTTTTGGAGGCAATATAGCCAAGGGTATTACTGTTTTACATGCAGTTAAGCTGAAATTGTTAAGTAGGCTGATCCTCATTATAACAAGCTTCCGGGGAAGGTGGGCTGCCCTCCCAGCAGATGTTCTAAAACGGTTCTTTTGAAAAAAGAGATGTTCTTTTTCTTCATAAGGAGGATTATTGGAACATACTAAAGGCAGTGAGTTGATGTCTTAGTGACCAAAATTAGACTTCTGTCAGCAGCTTTCATTAAGGTTAGCTTCCAGCCCGTGCCCTCCTCATGTGCCACAGATTTAGTCTTGGGTTAACAAATGCTAATCCACATGTAAATGCTCTCTATGATCCACACATGTTTAGCAATCTGATTATATATTTTTAAAGTATACTTTTTAACTCCTCTTGGTTATCCTTAATTTTAAGAGATGTGAACAAATTCACGCCACTTGTGTCTTTCCTAGTCAGTTTCACTTCTCACCACGCAGTCCATCAAAGCCTACTTCCCCCAGAGCCATCTCAGAGAATCTAGAAATCTCCTGACCTCGCCGCAACTCTGGAGATAGGGCCTTTTGTATGCACAGTTCTCACGAATTAAAGAACTTGACTAACTTGAGAAAGATACTAAAACGTCTCCCCATAAGGTAACTGTTCATTTCAGGGGACACAGAGATGTTTTCAAGCCAGTGCTGCATCTGATGGAAGCAGAGAGGATAAGAACCATCCCCAAACGTGGAGGCTTAGCACCCGGAGATGCCTCCAGTCGAGCTGACAAATCTCTTAAGTGGGAAACAGTCGGTTTTCCTCCACAAGGCCTCGGCGTGTGAGGGAAGGAGGGGGATGGGCAGGAGGCATCAGGGGAGAAGTCTCCGGCCTTTCCACGTCTCTCAACACCATTCCTCCCCCACCCCGCCGCCTCCTTCCCCGAATCCTAAACAAGCCGGCGGGAGAGGGGCCCCGGGGGCAAGCTGGGCCGGGAGGCTCGGCCTTTGTGGCTCTGCCCTCGACGGCGGTGGCGAGGCAGAGGGGGCGGGGACGCGGGTCGGAGACCCTCAGCCGGGGCTTGACCCCCAGGTGCATTGTCCGGCAGGACCCGCCCCCTCCCCCCGGGGCCGCGACCGGGCCACCACGGGACCCCTCCCAGCGTCTCCCTCCGCCGGCCGCGCCGACCTCGCGGTCCCCAGACCAGGGGCCAGATGTAGAAAGTAGTCCCCAGCCGGCAGCGGAGGCGCTGTCCACTCCGCCGCCCCCGCCCCCTCCAGCGGCCGCCTCACTCCGCCCCCAGGCCGGACTCTCGGGCCCCCGCCTCCTGCGAGCGGGTGTCCGCACACCGGCCTCGCCGCGCCCGCAGAGATCAGCCGCTGGCCGCGCCGCGCCACGCCGGTGCCCAAGCGGGAAGCCCAGGCTGCGCGCGTCCAGCTGCGGCGCGGGGAGCACCCGGGGGCGGGGGCTGGCAGGCGGACAGCGGCTGCGGGGCGGCCGGAGAGCATGCCCGCGCAGCCCCGCTGAATGGCGCCTTCTCTGCGACCCCTCGTCCGTCTGCGGCCGCCAGGGATGCTGCTCCGCGCGCTCCTGCTGCTCCTCTGCTCCGTTCCAGGTGGGCGCGCTTTCCTCTGTGCCTGTGGGGCGGGAGCAGGCGCGAGTGGCTGCGGGAAGGGGAAACCGGGCGTGCGTGTGTGTGTGTTGCGGGCGCGGCGGGGTCTGCGGCGGGGGCGCTGACCACCGCCCCCTGTCCCCTCCCTGCAGCCAGGCGGGAGCCGCTGCCAGGCTCGCGGGCAGGCTGTGGCGCCTCTCCCGGCGCGCGCCCCTTGGCGCTGCGCTCCCCCAGCCGCGGGCTGCGGGGCCGTGGTGCCCGCTGTCCACTCTCACTCCTTTCTCCTCGCGCCATTGTCCGGGCTCCAGCCGCGTCCTCGCCTCCACCGCCAGCCCGGGCTCCGCGCCGCCCGCCCGCCGGGGCCGCCGCGGCCGCACGTGGCTTTATTTATATTGTTTCCTCAGTGGCAGCCTCGCCACGCAGGGGGCGCCGCGGTTCCGCGCGGCTTGCCCTGTTTGCAGTGCGGGTTCCCCCAGGTTTTCGGGCAGGGGGCAGAATGAGTGAGCTCAGCGCCCAGGTCAGCACCCCTAGTGCCCCCACTTTCCCAGATCCGGATCGTGCGAGGAGGAGACGAGAGGGGTGGAAGTTGCGAGACCCATTTGTGCCCGGGAGGGGAGGGAGAAAGATACCCGAAGCTGAGAAGGAAGATCTCTAAATAGGATTATTTCTCGCAGCCAGATATTTGGGGGCAGGTCTGAGGTGTGTACGAATCTGAAGATTCCTCCAAACTCCACGTTAGCCTTGCGCAAACTTAAATGAACTGATTTTTCTCTTTTGCGTCCCTGTTTATCCTCAAAGAAATAAAAAGTGTAAAGTGGATTGGGGGCGGGGGGAGAGGTGTTTAGGAGAATGGGTTGTTTTATTTATTTATAGGTTACAAACCCCGGGCTTTCGTTTTTCTAGAGGAGTTAGTTTTCTGTTAGCATGAGAAAAGGATCAAAGTCAGATGTGACTCGGAAACACAATGGGCGCCTTCCGGAGTGGTCCTCGCAAAGCGAGGCTGTTAGAGTCGCTCGCGTCGCCCTAGGCATACATTAGAAGTCGGCAGCCCGGGCGTGGGAGCTTGACTAGCGTGTGAGGTTTCCTAGAATCTGCCTTGATGAGAAACAGAAATCAATCCCAGGGATTCGTAATCATGGATTCAAAACAATCAGAAGGAAGGTGAAACGTTCCCCCCAAAGCCCTGACACTCTACTCGGCCCCAATCAATACGGAAGACTTTAGCTGGCCTTTGCGCTAAATGCAGGAAGTGACAGGGTATTAGGTGGTCATCGGATGCTTTATCCTGGCGGGGACCCGGGGCGATGTGTATGCTTAGGATAAAGCCTTTCCTCTGCTCTGATAAAAATGTGTATTGGTTGATTAAGCAATCTCCTATCCCTGTTAGACAGTAAGGACCAATTAGTCACGCATTTTTTCCCAACAGTCCCTAAGTTCCAAAAAAATGAAATAAAAGTTTGCTAATCCGATCACCCACTGAGGGCGAGCAGCCAGGGTTACCAACTTTTCAAAATCGGTTGTCTGCCCTTTAAATACTTACTTTACTTTCCAGAACTTAAGTAAATGGGTCTCTTTCAAGAAGAGGAGGTGGAGTCCTTCCTGTAAAAGGGCAGATATAAAAATGTAAACTTGTAATTTGTCACAAAAGATAAACGCATTTCCCAAAGGAGTTGGTGCCAAGGGTTCCAAAAACGCTTCAAGGGACGAGGAAATAAACTTGCTTGTTCACAGAGTTGGAGTTTTGCTAATGATTTCTTGTAAAATTAGACTTTTACGACTTACTCTGTTCAAGATCTTTTTGACAAGCTTGTAAAAGTAGCAAACAGCTTGTGCTCATGAGTTTTCCTGATGATTTTGAAACTCGAGTAAGGAACTTGAGAACAGAATTCTTACAAGGCATAGAAGTTATTGAAATCTTCCCTATGCTTTTAGTGTAGATGTTGGAAAAGGTGGTTTCTCTGATTTGTGGAAAAGGTTTGCTGAAACTTAGTTTGGTTTATCCAGGTGTCTGTAAGTTAACTAACATGGTTTGTTAAACTTTGTCTCATTACACCCTGAATATGTGTTTTAAGAAATGATTTTATACCTGTAATTCTGGATATGCCTCTCCTCCTTCTCCCTTATAGGAGTGTGGTGCTTTAGCGAGCTGTTTTTTATAAGAGAACCACAGGATGTAACTGTCACAAGAAAGGACCCAGTCATTTTAGAGTGCCAAGCTCATGGAGAAGTTCCTATTAAGGTCACATGGTTGAAAAATGGAGCAAAAGTGTCTGAAAATAAACGGATCCAGGTTCTGTCTAACGGCTCTTTATACATCAGTGAGGTGGAAGGCAAGCGAGGAGAGTACGCTGATGAAGGATTTTATCAGTGCTTGGCAATGAACAAATATGGAGCCATCCTTAGTCAAAAAGCTCATCTTACCTTATCAAGTAAGTGTTTAAATTCTTGATTGTTGGCGTTTTCCATTGCTACATTTTGATGAGTTCTTGATTCATTAATATGCTGACCTTAAAAATCACACATTAAGAATTTTCCTGGAGATGATAGTTGATGCTACCTAAGGCATGCAGAGAAATCTGAGAAAAAAAATTTCCAGTAAGTGATTGAGAACAAAAGTGAAATTAGGTTTAGAGCACCAAAACCTGTAGAGGTGGCTTTATATAAATTTAAGTGTTTCACACTTGGAGAAGAGTTGAGTGTAGAAGTTTGGCCAGCACAACAAAAGTTGTTCTAAAATCTCATCTTTTGGAAATTGGTAATTAAATTTTTAAAAATCACAAGCAAATCTTTCTGCTTTGTAGTGGCCCTTGAGTGCTAAATCTTTCTTATAGCCCATCCTTCCGTGTCTCTGACTGCTTTAAGATCACCCATGTTGCTTTTTAATTGTAAGAGAGGGCATTGGTCAGTAACTCTCAAGCCTTTGAAGTATTCCTAGTCCTTTCCTGCTGGGACAGATTAAGGCCATTTCCATATTATACCTAATGGATTTAAACCAGATCTGCCCACTTTTTTCCAGTTGTCATAAAGTTTGTTGTCTAATGGTTTCCTTTGTATTAATAACCCCATCAGATCAATCATTTGTCCAAGTGATCCATTGCTTGGTGGTTGTCCTGATAACTTTTGAGTGTAAAGAGTACCTAGGACAGAGAGGGAACTCCTTGTTGCCACTGAGTCAGTCCACCTCTCCAGGTGGTCAAACACACCGCACTCAAGACTGCAATAGACAATTTAAGTCTTAAAAATCCAACACAACTGTATCTTAAAAATAGTTTTACAGACATCCTAGCTACATGCTTTTGTTTATCCACAAAAGATAGATTTTGCACTGTACCTACAAATTGATCATTTACAGGATGAACAATAGGAAGAGGGAGCTCTTGAGAGAAAGGCATAATCTTTAGGAAATAGTTTCTTTAAGGTTTACACAATTGAAGTTTAGGAAGCTATTGGCAGGAGTTTCTTAGGTGACTTGAACTATTATAACAATCCATGGCCATATCCATGCCTCCCTCATATTAGTAATTTATTTTATTTGTACAGTTATGATTAATTGTAGAAAATGAATTGCTGGCAAAGATATTTTTATGTTGCAATATGTCAGAAAAGTAGAGAAGTTTCCAATTCTAGCCCGCCCCCCCCCCCCAAGAATAACATAAACTGGAGAGAATTCCTGATAAACATTTTTTTTTGCTGTAATCATTGGCTAATGGTTGTGGGTTTTTTTGTTGTTGAGTAATGATTTTTCTATACAGTGCTATTTTCAAGATACTGTGCTTTTTATGCTTATGTTTTGTTCATTTAACTTTTGTCTAATGTAAAATTGTTCTATAGAGTTGTCATTTTTCCACCTTTTCAGGTTTGTGGAATCTTGTGTGTTTATATCCAGGAACTATAACTTGTATTACTTTGCTGGAGAGGAGAGGGGCGGGCCGGAAAGGGAGTGGATAGGCTTCAAAAAGATGAAGCATTTGTCATGACCACACGTTATTTCCACGACCTCCTGGAAGCCTGACAGAATTCCGGGGGCACCCAGAAATACTTTGAAAACACACAGAGCTTTCAAACTTCATAAATAAATCCTTATTTGTGATGTAATAGATGTTAGTATTGGCTCTTTTAGTAAATTTAGATTTTTTTATCCTTATAAAAATTACTAATAAAAATATTTAGTTAGATGTGAATCATTTTGAAGGCCATTGTGGTAAAGTAGTTTTCATATTATAAATATGAAAAACTTTCCAGTGAAACTATGTAGAACATTGCATTGCTGTTCTCAATGTCAGCTGTAATCAGTTTTCGTATGCACACATGTTAACTCTGAGGAGGTATTTTGCTAGGAAATTGCATTCAGTATTATGGATTTAAAAGGAGAAATAAATAGTGGGTTTAGATTTTCCTTTAGAAATGTGAGCATTCTTAGAGAGTCTGAATTCCCAAAGTTAACCTAAGAAGAAATGTGCAAAGATGTAGTCTCAGATGACTTTATCCTGTGTTCAGGGTAAAGACATTATACATATTAAACAGGAAGAGAATAGGCATTAAGTGGACATTCTGGTTTTTTTTTTTTTCTTTTAAAGCTGATTGTCTCCTGGTTGTTGATAGCAGCAGGGCACAAGTATGTTCTTTTTATTTTCTGGTCAAAGATTTTGTCAGCAAGCATAGCTTTTGCTTCAGAAGTTTTAATAGTACAGCCCCTAGAAATCTAAAACTTGAATCTGTGCAAGTTTTAGATTTTTAACACACAGGCAATCAAGTCTTGGTTTCTAAACTTAGGAACTAGAAGCTGAAAGTTGCACTCTAGGCAAGAATTCCATTATTCATGTGTAAATTAGGAATTCACAGGGTTAAAAGGTTAGAAACTGGCCAGGATGAGGTTTACCCTTGTGATAAAGAGCAGATGACCCTCATTCATTGGCCAAAGCTTTCATGTGGCTCTTCTGCAAAGTTAGTTATTGCCATGAATTGTTCTTGAGGAATGCAGAAATTCAAATGTGAACAGGCCTTTCCTTAAGTGTCACTATGGAGCCTTATCTCCCAAGCACATCAGAGCAGGGCTTGGGGGACAAGGTTCCTCCCCAAAGGCCTGGAGGCTTTGCTTTCCTGTTGTTCATCCAAGCACAAAAGAATTTGTCTAACTTAGTTTTTCTAAGGCATCCCCTTTTTAAAGGAAAGTATAGGGTTAAAGTCATATTTAGTTTTTTAAAAAAGGTAATCCTTTTCATTGATAGGCGTTTTAGCCGTTTTACATTTTCACGTAATTAGAATAGAAAGGGGAGCGAGGGGGGAGGCCCTTTTTCTAGTTGTATACAATGGTAAGAACAGAAGATTAAACTGTTTCCCATGCATTTCAGTCTTTTTAACTTTTGGTAAATTGAATTTTCACTTTCATGGGTGCTAAGTCTTCACTATATAAAGAATTTAATTTAAATATTTTAGGAGTAAGAAATAATCTGTGGACATCTTGACGTTTGTTGCATTCTTAATGTTGAAATAAGTAAGATGAATTTCATAGGAAAGCATTAGTGTGGTAAAACGGTCTCATATTTCAACAAGTTTAAATTAAGATAAGAGACACTGAGAGAAGTAAAGGAAGAGGCGGGTTGGGTTCTGTGATGTGTAAAAGACTGGCTGTAAGCTAGTGATTGAACAGGAAGCTGGTTGTTTATTTCCTTTCCATAAAAGGTGGAAATCGAAGTCTTAGGATCGAGGGAAAGAGGACATAAAGCTGGTTTATATTTCTTAGGTTTTTCAGGAGTGTTCACTTGGGTGAAAAATAATTTTTTACGTGAGCATTTGTAGCTGGAAGACCATACGAACTATTGTAACTTTACGATGGATTTTTTTCTTTTAAAATTTTCAGATTAGTTTTGACATCCATAAAGTTGTTCATGGGGTCCATTTCTATAACTTTATGTGGCAATAGTGGTTTCCTTTAAAAGGATGTAGGTTGTTTTTTCCGTGGATAAAATGTTTATCGCTTTATCACTTTGGTTTAAGTTGAGATGAAACTTGAGGTTTCTTTGTGAGATTAATGAAAAACTGTTCTGTGAGTGTGGTTTCTATCTTAAAGAATAATACATATATTGCAGTTCAAAGTTCATCTTGAAATGTGAAGTTAAAGTATTTTGAAAACGTTTAAAGAGTCATGTTAAAAGAGGGTAGGTGGTATATTGAAAAGAGAAAGATAAGAACTGTGAGACTCTTAGCTTAACATTTTGAATTTTATTAATGATCCTGGACCCAAGATGGGCAAGATTTTGCTACACTGTCACTTTTTATTGAGATTTGTAGATGCTGTAAAGGATGGCGTCTATTATCTGTGTGCATGTTCACTACAGATCAAGCTGTTAAGTTACCTGCCCGAATCCAAGGGTGCTAACTCATGAGTAGAAGTCATTTGATTTTGGAAAAATAAGACAGAACTGAGGTATGTAGAGAGACCAGTCTGCTAACACTGTAGAATAAGGTTCAGGTGATGCTTCCTGGGATCCAAGAAAAGTGATCTTTAAAAAGAGGGGGCATGGTTCAAACACGTTTAACTTAAAAACTGACCATCTTAAAACTGCATGAGTTAAGTCAGAGAAGTAAAAGCACATATAGTTCTACAGGCTTATTTACAATGACGCTTGGTTCTTAAAGTCTGTCCACTTAAAAGGTTTATCAGGTGCCTGATAATCTCTGGGTAATGGAACCAGTTCTTCCCACTTGGCACTTGATAAGTGACGATCATTTCTCATCTCCAGAAACCTGTAACACTGTCTCACTGTTTTTCCGAGTTGTTGGATTTTTCATTTTTTTTAACGAAGCTGGATCCACTGAGAAGAATTATAATTTTCTTTAAGATGGATATAAATGTATTTGTTTATTTTATTTCTGTCCGGCTTCTGAATGGAATTTTCAAAGGGCCTTTGGGTATGGCCCTCTTTTGTCAGCTATCTCCGATGATTCTAAAGAAAGGGCCTCTCTGGGCAGTTGTTTGCCCAAGGATTTGTTGCGATTACTCCTGAATTTACCAGCTGGGCCTATTGATGAAGTCCAGAGCAATTTAAGAAAATAGCAAAAAACAGATCTTTTAAACAGGGTTTTAGGTTGAAGGAGTATTTCAATTAATAAATGAATGCATTTGAAGTTACTGTTTTGAAAACCATAATATTCTTGACTACAGTTTTGGAGATGATTTTTCTCTCTCATAGGTGGTGTCGATAAGTTAGGGTTGATTAGTTTCAGCTGTTAAACTGGCAATTCCTATTTATATGAAAAAATAATAATGTCAACTTAGGCATTTTATTGAGGATCTTACTTGAATTTTAAAAACAGCTCTGATTATTGAGATATTTTAAGACAAATCCTAAAAATTGTACCCCAACTAAGTTTTTATTGTCAGTCAAGACTCTTTTAAGACTTTTGAGAGTTTATAGTGTCCAGTTTC